AAATTAAAGAAAAAATAATAATAATAAAAATAAATTCCAGTCCTAATCATCTGATTAACAAGTGCTGAAAACAGAAGTTTGGGGAATGCTGGGGACTTGGGCCTCCCAGCCCCAATTGTGTAGCTGTTTTACATGACCATTTCAGATACAGAATATTGAGCCATGTCTCTGCTTCATGGTCCAGGATGAAGAACAAGCTGTGGTACTTTGAATTTGGCACCTCGGAGACCTTCGCAGCCACCTGCAAGAAACTCCATGACCACATAGAGTTGGAGGTAAGTCCCCAAATGGGAAGAAAGCTTCCTGGACCTTGGTTCTGCTCCTGGACTGTCACACCTTCAGGACATGTCCCCATGGGTCCTTAATTGGTGACCCAGAGTGTAGTCCATATGTTGTACCTCCATCCTCTGCAGCCTCACTCAGAGGAGGCTCTAATTGCTGCACCAGCCTTTCTTGGCCTGTCCAGGGATCCTTGGGGTTCTGAGGTCTAATGGCCCAAAGGACCCAGGGCCACAGTCTATTTCTGCCCTCAGCCCTCTTCCCACTGTGGCCTTGCAATTCCCCCTTTTCAGAGAGGCAAAGACTTAGTTGCAGCAAGCACAGGGAGAAGAGCTGCTGCTAGGGTAGAGGCAATGTCCTAAGCCCAGTAAAAGCCTGGGAACTGGGGACCAGAGGGCAGCAGGGGTGAGAGGAAGTAAGGCCAGAGGTGACCGGACATCCCCCAGCTCACTCGCCTCAGCTTTCACAGCTGCTTCAAGGAGCTGACTTATAGGTCCTCACTGTTGGCTTTGTAGGTGTGCAACCTGTGTGGTCGCTCAGAAGGGCCCTCCATCGAATGCTCTTCTGTCATCATCTTGAAATTCTTGATAATCTTCACAAAGGGCCCTGCATTTTCATTTTGAACTGGGCCCTTCAAATTATGTAGCTGATCCTGTTGGTGCACTCGTGATTTACTGACTCTTCCGGCACTTGTAGCAGCCTGCCTGCCTCAGAAAGTTTGCCTGTCGGCTTCCCTTCCCGGGTTGATAAGCTGCCCACTCCCACCCACTCACTCCACTTCTGCTGGATTGCTCTGGTGAAGTCCTCTCCCTGCTCTGTCTCTGGCCACCTAAAAGTCCAAACTTCTATGCACACCAGCTCGGTCTCTGTTCTGCAGGACCTCAGGCCCATTGGTTACCTGGCCCATGGTTCTCAGCCACCAACCCCACCTTCCCGTGGGATTCAGGCCCATGGTGTTGTTTTCACTTGTGAATGGCAAAGCCAGAGAGTTCAGCCAGGAGGGGCTCCCCCTGGCCCACCAGCTTTGTCCCTAAGTCTGCATTCACTGGCAAGTGGGGCCTGGGCATTCTTATACGGAGGAGCAGTTGGCCTGAAGCAGTGTGGGAAAGCCCCACCACTCCCTGCCGGAAGGGAGTCTGTATTCACAGGGAGTGTTCACAAACAGAACACAAAGCCAGAGATTCTGGGCTTGCATTTGACTCATCTGTCTGTCTCTCCCGTTGGTTGCTGGGTTACCAACCACAGGGTGGGAGGAGCCAATCCAGCTCATCCCCTGAACTTTTGGCAGCTCAAGTTAGAGGGCAGAGACCTGGGAGCCCAGGTTGTATCCCTGGGTGGTACCACCCAACACCTGCAGAGGCTGAGGAGCCAGCCATCCTCTAATGATACACAAATCCATTGCCTGGAGGCTGCAGCGAAGGAGGAGTGCTGAGCATGGCTACCAGAGAGTGTGCATTTTTCCTGTTGGCAGGACCATGTAGTGGGCACTCTTTAAATATACCCTAAGTGAGGGACAGCCCTGGCCTCGCCACTGCCAGCTGCAGGCGGACAGCGACTGCTTGTTCTCCCTGCAGCTGGCCTTGAAACTAAACCCAGAATAGAGCTGCTCTGTCCCCCTGCCTCTGTGGCCCGCCCTCCCAAATCCCAGGACTCCTACCCCCCGCCTCCAAGCCAGCCTTGCCTAAGGTCCCCTCTGGATCCAAAATGCAAGAGCTCTTCCTCAAGTGCACAGCAGGCTGGTAGCCTGGGTGCTGAAGATGCTGGTGGCCTCTGGTGGGGGGGTGTGGCTTTTAGGGGCACTTCCTGCTTTCCTTATCTCCTTATAATGAGTCCTTTTAGTATTTATTCATGAGGCTAAGGGGTGGGGTGTCATGTGACAGTAGCTCCTGACAGTCAGCAAGATTGGGACAGACACCATTTTTGCATCTAGAGAGCAGTGCATGATGGTCCTGTGCCATGTGAGCCGGGGACAGAGGGACAGAGAGACAGGAGAGCACGGCAAGTGAGTGACAGGTGTGAGGAGGCTGCCCAGCTCCACAGGTAGCTGTGAGAGCACAGGGCCCTCAGGAAGAGCAGGAGGAGAAGCTATGTTAAGTGACCTTCCACATGTGGCCACTGCATACATCAGCTCAGGCCTGTGAGGACCAACACACCCATCAGTTCAAGGCCAGCCACCCCAAGAATAAACCCAGGCAGGTATTTATACCACACGTCACCATTTCAAAGCCCCACCGTAGCCTTTATTCCATAGTCACACAACAACCTGGTGAGCTACACAGGCCAGGCATTATTATCCCCATTTCATGGAAAAACAAGAGGAGGCACAGAGGTTTTGAAGGGTAAACAGAAGGGAAACATAAAAAAAAAAAAACTCACATGCTTTGACTGCCTATCATCATGTGTCCTCATTTGACACAATAACCCAATGAAGCAAGGACTACCACATTGTTTAAATGAAGAAACTGAGTCTCAGATACATTGAGTAACTTGACCAAGATTTCATTGCTAAAGCCTGGTAAGAGAGAAGATTCTAGATCTCCTGGAATGAGTGTAGCTTAGAAGCCATAAACAGAGTTCTATCTAACTAGCGCTAAAGACTCAGTGAACTCTTAGCACTGATGCAGTTTCTTCTGCCTTTACTGAGTGTGGGGCCATTCGGTTCCCTCTCCACTGAGGCAGCTGGGAGGGCTGCTCAGAAGTACTTTCCGAACAGAAGACATAGTCCTCCTGCTCATTTGAGAAAGGAACAGGTTCAGGCTGGATGGTAGGTGGGAGTCAGAGAGGAAAACTGCCTCCAAGTTTACAAAAGGTTTTCCTACGTAGCATCTCATTTGGACCCACAGAACATGCAGGGCAAATATTAATGTCCTCACTTTATGGGTGAGGAAACTGAGGCAGAGGTTCAGCAACTTGAGAAAGGGCACGAAGGTAAAGGGTAGAAGGGAACAGATAGGAAAGTCTATTTAGATTCTGTGTGTGTGTCACTGATTTTAAAAAGTTGGATGGTGAAACGGAGCTAAAATGAGATTATGGAGGGAGGGTCTCCATTAAAAGCCTCTCACACGGAATTCAACCTCTGGGGCCAGTGACTTGTTGAGAAAGATTAAGAGACTTGGTCTTCTCTCAAGTGAAGCTTACAGCCCAGTTGACATAAGAGGGAATATAGTACTCACTTAATGAGTGCTAAGCAGATTGGATCCAGGGGTCCTGGAGAGCCATGTGAGCTAGATCATCCAGGACAAGGGGGAGAGAAGGTGACTTGATATCTATTGCTCACATGCACACACTAGGCCAGGGCTGGCACAGTGAAAGGGGCCTGGCCTAGTCACACAAGACCGGGAGTTACCCCTGTTCTGCAATTAGGTGAAGTAACTTGCTAACCTGTGTGTCTGAGCCTCAGTATTCTCATCTATAAAATGGAGCAAGAGGGGTTAGCCTACTTCCCAAGGCTATAGTTCAGATTAAAGTTTTCAGGGTTGTTGGTTAAGTAACTGGCAATGGTGCTAAGTGCCTCACAGAATCTGCAAAGCAGCCTCAAGTGGCAGATGTCAAAATCACCTTTTCAAAGAAGGGGATAGAAGCTGAGAGAAGGCAAGAAGCTCACCTGAAGTCCACAGCCCATGAGTGGTCAGGTCAGGCTTCAAATACAGATTTGACCAAAACCAGGGACTTTCAGGGCAGTACTGGCACTTTAGTCTGGAGCAGAGATTCTCAACCAGGTGTGGGGCATATCTGATCTGCTTTTATTCACATATTTTTATTTAACATTTCAGATAACATTAAAACTAGGCATGAGATTTTTACATTTATCAAAAAGAGAGCACAGTCCTGACTGGTTGCTCAGTGGTTAGAGCACGGTCCCTCATACCAAAGGGTTGCAGGTTCGATTCCTGGTCAAAAGCAGGTACCTGGATGCAGGTTTGATCCCTGCCCCAATTCAGGGCTCGTGTGGGAGGCAACTTATCAGTA